GGGGGGAGTGGTCAGATCCTGTGTGGCTGGCTTTCAGCCCCTTATCTCCCACTTGTTTCCCTGCTCTGGCTGCAGTGGGATTCCTCCCTCCTGTTACTGCCACCAACAGAGCCTCAGGATCTTTGCTGTCGCTATCCCCATGGCCTAAAATGCTCTTCCCCTAGATGCACACGTGGTTCACTTCCTCAGCTCTTACAAATGCTTTGCTCAAATGTCACCATCTCAGTGAGGCCACTCTGACCACCCTGTTTAAATGGCAACTCTTCCTTAACTCCCTACTCGCCTTTCCTGCTCTATTTTGTTCCTATAACTTCTAACCTTCTCATATGTCATTTGCACGTATTGTCTAACTCTGTAAACTGTCAGGGATCCGCAAAGACAGGGATGCTTCAATCCCAGTGCCTAGAACAGTGCCAGGCAGAACAGCAGGCACTCAGTGAGTGAATGAGGGCACTGCTGTGTCAAATAAACACTCACTGGGCACTCACTCTGCCTGGCTTGCACTGGGAGATCGTGGAGATCCAGCAATGACCAGGACAACCCAACCCTACTCTCATGGGGCTTCCAGTCCAATGGTGGAAACAGACCTGTCACTAGACAGGTCAGAATGGGCAGGGCAGAGGTGGTAGAGGTACAGGTGGCTGTGGGCGCTTAGAAAAGGGTCAGGCCCAACCTTGCAGGTCAGGGGAGGCTTCCTGGAGGAAGTGACAGCTGAGCTGAGCTGTAAAAGATTAGTAAGAGCCACAAAAAGAGAGACAAGGAAGGGTATTCCTTTGCAAATGTTCCGGTGGAGAGTCTGGCCAGAAAACAAGCAGTGTGTCTGTGTCCCCTGGACCCACTTCCTCTTCCTGAGCATCTCTTCACTATACTTTTATAAAAATAATGAGACCATGCTGATGTCACCGTTTCACAAACTCTGTTCTCCTAATAACAGCATGTGGACATCCTGCCATGATTCTACCAGGAGCTCTAAACCTGTGCTCTAGGCTGTTATTGTATTGACTGAGCAGTAATGCATTTACCAGAGGCAGAAGGATCTAGAGGTTAAGAACAGGAACTCAGGAGTCAACCTGCCTGTGTTCCCAGCTCCATCTTCTACAGCTCTAAAACCGTCCAGTCACTCATCTCTCTGAGCCTCAGTTTCCTCCTCTAAAAGTATTGATAATAATAATTTCAACCGCACAAATTGCAGTGAACAGTAAGTGCATTAATATCTGGAAAATGCTAAGAAACAAATCTGACATATAGTAGGTGCTCACTAAATTTAGTGTTTGGTCACTTAAGAAATTCCCCATTTTTGGACATTTTATTTTCTTTTTCCCTTCCTTTCCTTTATTATTATTTGCTATTCCAAACCACATTGGCATGAACTTTTCCCCCTAACCATATCTCTGAGCATCCTTAACATTTTTAGAAGTACAATTGCTGGACAAAAGGGGTTTAAGATTCTATGGTGGATTTTCAAATCCCTCCTTCCCAGCCCCCATTCCGTGGGACCACTTCTTTCACCCTCCTCTCTCAGCAAAGGACTCAGATTGGGGGGCATGACATCCAGGCTTTGCCTCCTCCTTCTAACTGATGGGCGTTATAATCCTGAAGACTCAGGATACTTACCCGGGCGAAGCCAACTTCCCCGCGGGCCAGCGACACAGAGTGGCTGTAGGCATGCACAGTGACGAAGCCCACATAGGAGACTTGGCGGTTGCCCCGGTGCTCATTCTTGGCCTCCACGCTGAAGGCTGGCAGGGTCAGGTCCTCGCTGTTCAGCTCTGCCATCGTGTACGAGCATGTGCCCATCATGTCGTAGCAACGGCCATCGAAGGTGGTGTAATGGGGGTCACCCTGGGCTCGGCAGGTGGCCGTAAGGCTTGGCATGCACTTGGCCTGCCCGTCCACCACCTGGCAGAGCTGCGAGGGAGGGCACTGCACATCCTGGCAGGAGGCCTTCTCCTGGGGAGGCTGCAGGTCTGGGGAGAGAAGAGGGGTGGCGAAAGAGATGCAGTTAGGAAGTGTCCACGTGGGTGGGCATCCCTGAGCAATGCCTCTGCAGGGAGTTTGGGCAGTTTGCTCACAACCACCCATTTTAGAAGTGGGGAATCTCACAGGGAGAGTGCTGCTCAGGCCTGAGAAGGACAGGAAGGTAGAGAAGAAAGTCTGGCAGGGACATTCAGGGCAAACCGCATTTGCTAATTTCCTCTCCCTGTTTCCCCCTCCCCCTACCTTCTCGTTAAGAACAGAAAACCGAAGACAGAGGCTGCTCCACAGTGGAGTCAGGCTGCCCTGATTAGCATCTGGGCTCAACCAATGAGCTGTGTGACACTGGGCAAGGAATGGTAAACTCTCTGTGCCTCACCTGCCTCATTGGTGACATTGATGACAGTGATACCTTCTTCACAGGGATATTTGGGGGGCAGGGGGGAGGCTGCCAGGTTTAAATAAGCTAAAGCATAAGTAGGGCTGGGAACTGCCCCGGGTGTTATAGTTAAATCCCCATTCTACTGTTGAAGCCCAAAGTGGCCGTTCGAAGTTGAGTGGCTTTCATGCCATGGAGTGGGAGGGAGGCTGACATTTTTGCCAGTGCTGGGAACCATAGTGTCTAGGTTCCTAGCTTGAGGGGGCGAGGGAGGGGTCCAAATAAGGGAAAACAGTTTCTTCTCCACTGCCTCCTAGTCTTCACAAGCTCCTGCTTTCTGTCTGCTCAGAATCTCAGCTCACCCTTCCATAGCCTCACTCACTTGCCAGGTACCCCCTGAGTGCTTTACAAATGCTTACTTATTACACCTATGAAGCAGATGAAGTTATTATGCCCATTTTACAGAAGTGAAAACTGAGGCCCACAGAGGTGAAGTCACATGCCCCAGGTCACACAAGCAGAGGTGGGATTTGAACCCCAGAAGTCTGGCTCTCCCATCTGTGCCCTCCAGCTCTGCCCTGCCTAGAAGCAGCTTCTCAATGTGCTGAGCCTGAGGTTACATGTAGAGCCAGAGATGAAATACGTAAACGCCTGCAAGGCACCTGGAATGGTCCCTGGTATATTGAGAGATAACTCCCCCAGCAAGGTAGGCATCATTATTATTATACTTTTAGACCTGAGTTTGGGCATAAACATTCCAAAACAGGTGTGAGAGAGTGGCAGTTAGCAACAGGTACAGTTGTATATCAGTTGCTAAAATATCAAAATAGTTATGAACAAATTGGTAAAAAGCTGCTGACCCGACCCTGTCCCCCAAAGATCCCTCCCTCTTGGCACATTGGCTCTCCCTCAGGACCTCTTCCCCAACATCTCCCCAAAAGCAACAGATAAAAGGCTGATGCCAGATACCCCAGAGGCTTCTAGGACCCTGCTTCATGCTCTGGTATCTCTTCTGACTAGTTGGGACCCTGGATAACACCAGTTGCAAAACATTTAGAGTATTATTTGGGGGGGGGGGACTGGGAAACCTTAAGGAAAGGAAGATGGCAGAGAGGATGGAGGTGGGGGGGGCAGCCCAGCTGAGCCAGGAAGCCACAGAAGAACAGGTGGGTGAGAAAAGAGGAAAGGCAAGAAAGCCCACAAAGGGGATACCAGGGTGTCATTTCCCATCACTCACTTTGGCTGCAGGCACCTGCTGTCCCATAGCCCTCAGACTGGACCAGCCAGAAGGTGAGCAGCCCAAAGTGGGCATTGGCCATGGCCATGTGGATCAAGGCAGTAGCGTTGAGGTCCACTTCCACATACGAGAACTCACTGCCCGGTACAGCTAGCCAGGTGAGCCTCTCCCCCAGCCTGTGTCCATCCACGGTCAGCTTGGGAGCATCCTTTATCTGTGATACCACCAGGGCCAAGCCCGTAGAGGCTGGGATATTACTGATCACATAGGCAGAGCAGTAGGACTCCACATCTGGGATCAGGACCAGGTAGGGGTTGTAGTCCATTCTGTCCCTTGTGGCACCTGTACCGAAAAGCAGGACTTGGATGCCCACATCTGCTTGCAGGTAGAGTGCGTGGGATGGCCGGACCTCAAACTCCATCACTCCACCCTCCTGGAGCTTCTTGGAGCCGCTGGTGGTCCCGTGGTGGTAGGTCAGCTTCGTGGCTTGGCTGGCCAGGACATAGACCAGATCATAGCGGGTCTGGGAGGACAGAGGGGGCACCACATAGCGGGTGCCCCAGGCAGATGTGGGTAGCAGCTGCTCCACCACATGGTTGCAGGATGTGTGTTTCTGGACACAGCTGTGGCCGGAGAGAACAGCCACGGGGCTACTGGCTGTGACCTTTGATCCTGAGAGATCAGCCATGCTCTGTACCTGGGCCACTTGGTAGGGCTTCAGAATCACATTCAGGACACTGCCCGCTGCGTAGAACTTATCCTCGAATGCCACTCCCCCCTTCAGGTGCACCCTGACGTTGGCACCCTTTGCACCAGCCACCACAGCAAACTCCTTGAGGTTCTGGGCCGAGGTGCCGCGGGGTGTGAACACAAAGTACTCAGTTCCTAGGGCGCTGACAGGTCGCAGCAGTGTCAGCTCTCCCGTGTTGGGCTTAGTGTTGATGGCCTGCACGGTGATGCTGCGGTCAGAGTGGACCAACACCGCATGCTGGAAGATCTTGCTGCCGACCATCTCAGCTTTGGCGTGGATGGTGACTGCGACTGGCTGCCCAGGATTCACTGTGACATTCTGCGAGGAGTTGTCTGCCTGGCTGACGACGTTGACTGAGGCAGGACTGTCTGACAGACTGGTGATGAGGAGCTCGAGATGGCTTCTGATGTACTCGGGCTGGTAGTTCTGCAGGAAGGCTGTGAGGAATTCCTCCCCCTCGGTGTTGCTGGGGTCCACTGAGGCCTCCTGGGTAAACCCTGTGGTGAGAAAATGCACTTGTGGGTCCACTTACCCATCAGAGAAGTAACCCCTTGCCCTGTGCCTCTGCAGGTTACATATTGAGC